GCACACCTAATTGGAATGGATATGAGCAAGCACTCGAAGAAGAATAGGCCTGAGCCTCAACAGGCCTGGGAGAGGGGGGGAGACTGCCACCCACAGGTTGGGTGGCAGGGAGGACGCAGGCCCTCCCACTCCACTGCGTCCCAGCCCGGGGCCCTAGCAGCGGCAGAAGACCCGCTGCTTCGTCAATGGGGATCCAGGCCACAACACACTGACATCGGCTCTGGCAGTGCTGTAGCCAGTCTGGGGTCGGCTGCCCCCGGGCTACTTCCACTAGGGTGACCAGACAGCAAACGTGAAAAATCGGGACAGAGGGTGGGGGGTAATAGGAGCCTATATAAGAAAAAGATCAAAAAATCAGGACTGTCCCTATAAAACCGGGACATCTGGTCACCCTAACTTCCACACTCCCCCTCTGGGCCTACCTGGGGGCTGGTGTTGGCCTCGGGGGAATCCTGGACCATGGCTTCATCCGGCCAGGGATCCTTTGGCAAGTCCGGGAGCTCCTCCGGATAGGAGGCGCAGGGCAGGCCCGCCCACCTCCCAGTTGTTTCCAATAAGGACTCACTACAGGGCAGAATGATTCAAATCAAGTAAAACACTTCAAACCAAGTAAATCATTTAGTTTACAATCTAGAGAAGGTGGAGTCAGGGAGGGGATTTCTCTCCTCCCATTGCTATATTAGTCTGACTTTCTCTTGGTGCTGTCACATTCAATCAGGTTACGAAAATGGTGAGGTTGAGAATTTTTTTTTTTTAATTGCTGCCAACACATTATGGGGGAAAAAGAGTAAATCTCCCACTGTGCGTGTATAGATTTCTTTCTGCGTAATTACTCACAGTACTGTTTATGCTTTGAAAAGCCGGGCTTATTAATTTATATGTTTAAAGTAGTTCAGAAAACTTGTTTTCTACAAACTGACCTGATGGATTACAGTTTTCTGGTGATTAGTGTACATTTTTGAAATTTAAATATGTCTTCTTTTTTTTTTTTTAATTTCTCTCTCCTTAGACAACTTACACAGACAAAGGAGAAAAGGTAAGAATACAATTGGGTTTATTTTCCCTCCAGCAAAAGACGGACTGTTACTGCAACACAGATAATATTAATTTCTTATTCATTGATTGTTAGGTAGGATAAAAAGCAAAAAGGGGCTCCAGTTTTATAGTGTTGAAACACTGCTTCTATTTATCGTTTTCCTTCTCTGTAAATTGCAATTAATGATGCAAATCCTTTTTTTCCACTTTTTTGGGGAGGGAGGAAGGAGAAATGTAAGATTAGTGACATTTATCAAGGAAAATCTAACTCTTCCAAGTCTAAACATAAGCATGATTTATTTTATTATTTCTCACTAATGATACTAAATATATTTTCAAAACTTTTTTCAAATTTAAAGCATTTTTTTAAAATACTAATACATACAGCAAAATTATGTTTAGTTGCTAAATACTATACCATATAACACAGATTTACTTTATGTAACTTTTATGCAAAGTACATACACAAATAATTAACAGTGATGAAAAATGATAATACAGAAGACAATAGATGTCAAATCATAGTTAAAGAAGAAAAGCTGTTTATTAAAGTAGGGTTTGACCAAATAATGTAATTAAATACTCCAAATAAATTTGTTAAACTCCCAAACTGTAATTTGGACCCACATTTGAAGTTGGGTAAGAGCTTTCCTCGATGAGAATTAATCTTTAATGTAACAAGGTTAACAAACTCATATTGGATCCAAACAATTGTGCAGGTTGTTTGAACAGTGGCACAAATTCTATTTTCCATTATTCTCTGCAACCCATCCCCATTACAATCTGTGTAACTGAAAGAAGAATTTGACCCATTGGCTTGATTCTGTTCTCATTTGAACTGATTTTACATGTGACTTAATTTACTTAAGTGAAAGCACTCCTGATTTACAAGGCTGGGAGAACAGAATCCGATCCTTTGTGTCCAGCAGTGACAGACAAAGCAATGACTGAATGGATTGACTGCTGTGTGTTTTTCACTCCATAGGGGACCCCAAAATATTATTTTCCAGAATCATGAGGGACAGAACCCCACTGTAAATTATTCATGGAATTTTTTCCAGCTTTGCTCCTTCCTGGCTTGTGAATATTTTAGTAACACCTCCCTCACCCACACTGTAAAAAGCAACATAGGGTCCTGTGGCGCCTTTAAGACTAAAAGAAGTATTGGGAGCATAAACTTTCGTGGGTAAGAACCTCACTTCTTCTTACCCACGAAAGCTTATGCTCCCAATACTTCTGTTAGTCTTAAAGGTGCCACAGGACCCTCTGTTGCTTTTTACAGATTCAGACTAAAACGGCTACCCCTCTGATACTTGTCACCCACACTGGTATTTTTCCTCTAGAGCATGCTTTTAGGGTGCTGTGATTTGATGCAGACAGGCCACATTTACTCTGATGACTGGCACCCAGACATTATAAATAAGCTTTTGGTGACATTGTTTTTAGACAAATTACTGTTGAATGTTTAGAAGAAAAAGTAATTGTTTTGCTTGAAATGTATAACACCCCCCCTACCCTGGCCTTTTCAAAGTCCAGTGTTCTGGGGGTCAGCGTCCTGTGACAATCAGCGCTCTGTAGGGACTCCTCAGAAAACCTGTGAAGTGGCAGTGCCTCAAATTATTTTCAACCCTGCAAAACTGGTGAATTTCAGATATCCCAGGTATATATTTTATAAAATCCTAGTCTCAGGTTTGTGCTTTCCCTGGTTTTATTATTTCAAATGATAAATATGCAATCACAGCATATTTCTCTAACTCAGTGGTTCTCAAACTGTGGGTCAGGACCCAAAGTGGGTCACAACACCATTTTAATGGGGTCGCCAGGGCTGGCATTAGACTTGCTGGGGCCTGGGACCGAAACCCAAGCCCCACTGCCTGGGGCCAAAGCTGAAGCCCGAGGGCATTAGCTCTGGCTGGTGGGACTCAGGATATAGGCCCCACACCTGGGGCTAAAGCCCTTGGGCTTTGCCCCCACTGATCCCCCCCCCCCTCCCACGCCTGGGATGGTGCAGCTCAGGCAGGCTCAGGCTTCGGTCCCCCTTCCTGGAATCATGTTGTAATTATTTTTGTCTGAAGGGGGTCGCGGTGCAATGAAGTTTGAGAACCCCCGCTCTAAACCAATCTAAGGATGGCTTAGGTGTACTCATTGGTTCTTGTTAAAAGAGAGACACTGTAGGCTTGAAAGTGTTGCATGAAGATGGCATTAAAGTGAGATCCAAAACCCAGCAGGTTCATATTAACTCTTCTTCATTCCATTTAGCCCGAAGGAGGCAAATTTCTCCACTTCCACTCTCTCACATTCTGGGTTGGAAATGCTAAGCAGGTATGTAGATAAAAGTCACATGTCTGCCTGTGCTTGTGAGGTCTCGGGCTTGGATCTTTCTTGTGCACTATCACTGTTTGAAGAACAGGGGCATACTGTAATCTGCCTTGCTATTGGCTGTCAGGAGGGGAGGGTCTGTCATGTGATATCTGGATGGTCCTAGGGATCTGCATTCAATTAAAATTCTATCTGTGGCTGGCTCTGGTGATCTTGCGTAGAATGATGGAGGTATTTCAGCACTTTTACTCAGTGGAATGTTCTTCAAGGATGGTCTTTGGACCATTATTATGCAACAGTGCTGTTTACACTGCAGACAGGGCACCGATGGGTGTATGTGTGTGGACATGCATATAGACATTTGTCCTCCTCAGTTAGTGGACATTCAGAAAATCCAAAATAAATGAAAATATGAAATCCCAGAAGAGATTTGCAGTGGCACATGTTTAATATGAAAAAAACCCACAAAAAAACCCCATAGTTCCTGCTGCTTCCCTGCCCATGTCCTCATCCCCAGGCCTTTTTGAGTCATTTAGATGGAGGTAGTAACTAGCAGTCTTGTTTGCAGAGAGATAAGATATCAGTCTTAGCTGATTGGACCGGCAGTATATCATTCCATGTTAAAAGGACACTGGCAAGTTAAAATCCCTCTATTTTAAAAACCTGATTCTTTTTCTCAGTGACATCTTAGATTAATGGAAAGAATATTCAAAAGTTCACTTACATTTCATCATTCATGGTATTAACTTGCATTCGGTTTGGAAAAGGGTAGTCAATTTCACTCACATTCATGCTCAGCTACTGATCCGTTTCTCTTTCTAATTCTCCTACATTAACCTGATGTTGCAATTTTGGGTTGCAAGTAAAAGGGAAACATTCCTTTCAGAATAAGCTATTCCCTTTTTAAAATGTCACTTAACCTTTTCTTTTGCTGTTAGACTTTGTAAGAACGCATTAAGACCTGCCCTTTTGCTGCCAGATCCCTTTTCATGTCAATTACAGCAAGGTTTGCAGTGTGGGGTTGATTCTTTTCTCTTCCAGCAAAGTGAGTAAGCTCACGTAGCAGGTGCAGGAAAGTATTAAAAAAGGCAGTGAATCACTGCAAACTGTTGGAAAGACTCAGCAGAAAACCACAGTCGCTATCAGCAGGGTCCTTCCCTCAGGGGAGATTATTTCTGATCCCCCTCCCCCCAATGCTATAAAAACTCCATGGCCCACCTGTACCACAATAACTGGTTTTCTGCATATAAAAGCCAGGGCAGGTGTTGCAGGGTAGTTGCCTGGGGTCCCACTCCACAGGGGCTTTGTGAAGGTACATTGCTCAGGCTTCGGCTTCATCCCCAGGTGGGCTTCAGACCTATGTAGTGGGGCTTTGGCTTTCTGCGTTGGGCCTCAGTGAGTCTAATGCTGGCCCCGCTGGGCGGACCCCTTGAAACCTGCTCATAGTCCCCCGTGGGGGCCCCGGACCCAGTGGTTTATAGCAAGAAAAAAGAACAAGTTAACATAAGCAGACAAAGAATCCCAACCCAACTGAGACCTGTGATCGCTGCCTATGGAGCCCAAGATTCTGCCTCTCAGACAGTCACTCTTGTGCAAGGGGAGCGGACACTGAGCTGGATTGAATCCCTTGTTCACCAGGGACCGGGCAGTGCCCTTGTTGTCTGTTACATGCTAAGGGCTACATTTGCAAAGGGACCTCTACTTCCTAATGTACACATACAAAGGGCCACTTGGCAGACTGGGACATCAGACCCTTACCAGTCTCTGTGTGCAAGTGCCTGTTTGTGAGTGAATGAGGGTTGTGCAGGTGATATATATATACCCCCCCCACACACACACACACACATTCATAAGCATATTTCCATAAAGCCTTATGGGTGGCACCCTCATACCCTCCTTCTGAACTTACTGCCAGAGGCTTGGACACTGACCATGGCGGAGGCAGTATACCTAAAATTCCTCTTTGGGCTCCCCTCTGGGGCAGACACTCCTGTGTCCCCCAAAAGGGAAAGAGACCCTGATCCAGCTGTGGGCTCACAGCTACCAGCTATGACAGACCTGCCAGAACAGGCACCCCACCACTCCTGTCTTGCTAAGTTAGGCACTCCAGTCAGCTTCAGCACAGACACAGAGGTTGGGCCACACCCATCTGCAGTTCACTGATACAGATGCACTCAGCTCAGGGGCTTCTTAGTTAACAGAGACTTTCCCAGTGCTCAGTGTTCAGCCTTTCTGGGCAATTTGCAACTTTATAGTTCTAGCGTCTTTTGATCTTCAATCTTATTTATTTTGCTTCCTTTTCTGTCCCTACTTCCCTTACCTGAAATAAGCAAACAGAAAATAACAAACCAGTAACCACTTTGTCTGTTCTCCAGCCACCACACTTAAAACTCCCTTAAAATCACTACCAGTATCTTAAAGCAATGAGCTGTGCACAGACCCTGCTTGACTACACCACTGTGACAGGTTAGATCACAGAACCCCCCCTTGGGAACTGCCAGCTGATGTGCCAAGACTACTTCTGCCCCTGCTTTTCTGCCCCGTCAGCTTAGGACTTCAGTGCCCTGCCTGGTTTGAGCCAGACTTGCTAGCCTGCTGCAAACCCAGACCCAGGTCTGAATCACGTCCCCTAACAGCTGTAGGCTTAGCCTGAAAGCAGCTAACAGAGGTGTTCTTGTCTTTAACACTGAGATGCCCAACTCCCAATGCGGTCTAAACCTAAATAAATCTGTTTTACCCTGTATAAAGCTTATACAGGGTAAACTCATAAAGTGTTCGCCCTCAATAACACTGATAGAGAGGTATGCACAGATGTTTGCCCACCCAGGTATTAACACATACTCTGAGTTAATTAATAAGTAAAAAGTGATTTTATTAAATACAGAAAGTAGGATTTAAGTGGTTTCAAGTAGTGACAGACAGAACAAAGTAACTCACCAAGCAAAATAAAATAAAACATGCAAATCTATGTCTAATCAAACTGAATACAGATAAGATCCTCACCAGTTCCAGAATACTTCCCTTTACAGACTAATCTCCTGTTAGTCTGGGTCCAGCAATCACTCACACCCCTTGCAGCCACTATCCTTTGTTTCAGTTTCTTTCAGGTATCTTTGGGGGTAGAGAGGCTCTCTCTTTAGCCAGCTGAAGATAAAATGGAGGGGTCTCCCCTGGGCTTAAATAGACTTTCTCTTGTGGGTGGAGACTCTCTCCTATGCAAAGTCCAGCTACAAAATGGAGTTTTGGAGTCACCTGGGCAAGTCACATGTTCATGCATGACTGAGTTCCTTACCAGCCAAGCCACACTCCTAGGAAAGTCCATATGTGGATTGATGTCTCCAAGTTCATTGTTGGCTTAAGTGTTTCTTGATGGGGCACTTACTGAGAATAGTCTTTTCTCATGAAGCTGACCAACTGCTTCACTACAACCTACTTAGAATCAAACAAGTATGCAGCCAATATTTATAACTTCGAATACAAAAATGATACATGCATACAAATAGAATTAATAGTTTCAGTAGATCATGACCTTTACAGAGATATGTTACTTGGTATATGTAGCATAAAACACATTCTAGTTATGTTATATATATATATATATTCGTAAGCATATTTCCATAAAGCCTTATGGGTGGCATCATCACAATTGTACACTAGCTGTTTGCTAGAGAATAGGGCCAGTAGGTGATGCTAAAAAGCTGTCTGTGCTTTGGGGAGCGCTAGTATTGAAATGAGTGTTACCAGAAAATAGTCCTTTCCTTTCACTCTAACATGTTTTCATGTCTTTCAAAGGCTGCCTCGTTTTATTGTAACAAAATGGGATTTGAAGAACTGGCCTATAAGGGCCTGGAAACTGGCAGCAGAGAAGTGGTGTCTCATGTAATAAAGCAGGATAAGGTAAGCTTACTGAAGAACGCTTTAAGGCACTATCTAAAGAATAATGTCACTACTCTGGTAACGGATCGGGGATAATAAAGTGTTGTTTTCAGTCAGTTAAATTAGGGGAGAGAAGAGATGAGGTCTCGTGGTCTCAGCACCAGACTCGGAACCAGGAACTCCAATCCTGGCTTTCACATAGACTTCCTATTAATTTGGGCAAGTAATATAACCCAGATGCCCCAGTGATGTCACATGGCCAGCTGAGAGGGCGAACACCCAGGTTAATTTTCATGATATGCTTGGTCTTTTTGTCTGGGCAAAGGTAGGCGGGTCACATCTGAATTCCAGCTTGTCACGTTTTGTGGCATTAAAATAAACTGCATCGGAGTTCTTGAAGCCATTTGGAATAACCCATTAGCATGGGGATGTCCTGTGAGGCAATACACATATTACATCTGCTTCCTCATCTGGAACTGAGGCAAAAGGCTCAGTTTCAGGTCCAAGAACTGACATTTTTACAGTTTTCTGATCGTTGGCCCAAAATAAAGAAGAACAAAAAGGGACTTTCTAATCTCCAGTTTCTCTGAGGCCAGTCCTGCATCCTTTCCTTGCCTGTACTCAGACAAAACTAGTGATTTCAATGGGAGTTTTGCTTGAGTCAGGACTGCAGGACTGGTCAGTAACAGCAATGCAAAACATCCTGGGATTTTTTAAACTAGAGCTGGATGAATATTGCATAAAAGCATTCATTAGCATTTATGCAAATGAAAACACATACATGTCTTCAATTTACCTATTAGGGTCCAATCCTGCAAACCCTCCTCTAGACAGAGCTCCCACTGACCTTATCTGACAGTAAATAATGTATAATATTCTGCTTAATTCTCAGATCATATTTGTCCTCTCATCTGCTCTCAACCCTGAAAACAAAGGTAAATGAAAATGATCATCAGGAATGACAAATGACTGCAGGCAGCTAAACCTCCTGGAGCGTAATCTGCACAGGGAACACTACGGAAGGCTACAGCGACTAGACCTCCCCCACCTTTCCTCTTTTGCTATCATAGGGCCATTTATTATCCTGTGCTGCAGGGGCTGTGTGTGGAAAGTAAACATGGGGTAGCAGCTAGTTTCTCCTGCCCACAAATCCCTTAGGGTGACCAGATGTCCCGATTGTATTGGGACAGTCCCAATTGTTGGGTCTTTTTCTTATATAGGCTCCTATTACCTCCCCACCCCCTGTCCCAATTTTTCACATTTGCTGTCTGGTCACCCTAAAATCCCTGTTCCCTAGAACCTAAAGAACCAGGCTCTTAGGGAAAGGGAGGGGTTCTAACTTGTGTGGCTGGAAATCCTGCCCTTACGAAGCAGTCTCTTCTCGGGCCCTGGGTTACCGGGGGAGGCTCCTGTGAGTGGGCATTTTTTGCCTGCCCTGGTTTAGGAAGGATATAATGTGATCTTTACTTGATAGTGTGAGCTAGCTCTGAGCAGGCCTTTTAGTGACTGTTCAAGCTCATATTGTATCTTACAAATGGCACCATGGCTGTGAATGGGGACAGAATTTTGTCATTTCACAAATCCAGCTGATAATTTTACTGGGTTACCACTTCTTTAGTCTTCGGATCGGCTCTGATCCTCCCTGGAGTCCAAGATAATCCTCTTGTGGAAAGCACTCGCCCCCTCCCCAGCACACCCACAAGGGAACAGTGCTGGCTGTTATTTAGCATGATTATTTTACAGTCCCTACAGCTCTGCTGGCATCAGACAGTCCAGCTAAGAGGACAAGGTCTGTGCCCCAGAGGGTTTACATGTGACTTTCAGACAAGAGGATAGGGTGGGGGCAGTGAGAAGGCAGGTCAGGGGATTGATTGCTACAATAAACTGATTTGGCCATTGAGGCAAAAGTGTGTGCTCCTGCTGCTGCCAGCCAGTCGGCCCCATCCTGAACCTCTGAGAACAGATTCCTGTAACCTGAAACTGCTGCTTCCCTATGAGGGACTGTTGAATTCTCAAGTGAGGCAGGGATAGGGAGTGCTGCAAAGGTGGGAAGCTCGGCCCTGGGCCGGGAGTCATTGTGACTGTGGCTGAACGTGCTCTCAAGACTAACCCATGCCAAGCCATTACCCGTTCCCTCCCTTTGCGTACACATGCAATTCTCACACCTACCAAATCAATGGGAAACTTTGAGAACTGTTTCTCACGCTGCTGCATCTAATCAGGAGGAAGGAGCCGTTGATGCAAGGCAGAGCAGCGAGCCAGCGACAAGCAGTCCAGCTGCACTGAACTCCATGCCTGGTCAGTCAGGCACTGCGAATGAAAAGTCCCTTGGGTCACTCTCTCTCTCACATGCACGCGCACACACACACACTCTCTCTCTTTCTCTTTGCACAGACATGGGAGAGCACTTGGTGAAGCATGGAGATGGCGTAAAAGACATTGCATTTGAAGTCGAAGATTGCGACTTCATTGTGCAGGTAAATGATGTAATCAAAGAACCATAAAAAGGTAGGGCTGGAAGGGACCTCAGGAAGTCATCTACTCCCCCTGTGCTGAGGCAGGACCAAGTATTGAAGTGGCCAAGCCAGTTCAGTTTAACATCTCCAGGTCTTGCAGGGTTAAGTACTCCATAATATAGTGTCAGTTTAACCACTTATAAAGTGTGAGAGGCTCTCTTGCCCATGTGCAAAATTGCAGTGACTGCACTGAAGCAAATGTTGACGCTGGGAAAACACAGAACATGATGCACCGTAGTTTCCATCTACTGGGACGTGAACTTGCCTCGAAGTGCGGTTCTGCTCTGAAAAGTGACTCCATGGAGACAGCGTTGGGAGGTTCCATGTGTGCTGTGTCTCAATTGCACCATATGAAGTTCACATCATTTACTCTAAAGGATGTTTTTTTTCTAACTCCCAGCCTTGCAATCACTCCATGGGATTGGACAGTCAATCCAGGCTCTTTCCGGTTCGTGCGTTGTCCCCAACAATATTGTAGAATTAGATGCTGTATGTCTTCTCCTGAAGCATCCAGCATTGGCCAGTACTGGAGACATGACCAGGCTTGATAGGTCTGTTCTAGCATGGCAGTTCTTACAGTCTTCTGTTCTCTTTCACAGAAAGCTAAAGAGCGTGGGGCAGTGATAGTGAAAGAGCCCTGGGTAGAGGAAGACAAATATGGAAAAGTGAAATTTGCAGTCATCCAGACGGTAAGCCTGAGGAAAGAGTTGTCTCTGGTCCATCGACTGTAACGTTGTGGGCTGCAGGAGTCGGGGCTGCAAGATCACTAATCACACTCACAAGTGGAAAGGGAAATCGATTGGCTGCATGGGCACTTTCCATCAAATGTTGCAGAGCTGAGCTTTTGGGCCCCAATTCCAGGCTCCAGAGCTCCCCCTCTATGGTGGCTCAGATTGAGTGGCTGGTGCGCTTCAGCTACTGTGGGCTTTACAGCAGCCCATTGGTGCCTATAGGTAGCCGCTGTAAGTTAGAACAGCCCTGGGGCTGCTCTAGTTTATGGTGAGGCTATGCCAGCCCCTGGAGCAGTCCAGAATCCTGGAGGTGGCATAAATCTGCCTTTGCCTGCCCCCTTTCAGCAGAGGATCCGGCTCTCTCACTCTTCTGAATATATGACTAACTTGAGGCCAAGTGCAGGCTAAACTGAGTTCCCCAGCTACGGGTCAATGGAGGCCCCTATAGTTGCCTACATCTCCGCTCTGGAACACATCCACTACAGGAACCTAGTGACACATGGGAAATTTCAAAATATGCAACGACTTCTTTGGAATCTGCACAGTGAATATTTAGCAAACATCTGCAGTCTCTGCAGCCAGCACCTGGAGTTAGCATAGACTTTTCGAGCACTCTAAAATCCCTGGGCTACTTACTGCTCAGACCCAGTACCACATTCCCTATCACATGTAGGGGAGTCAAAATTGGACCCCTGCTGCTGAAAGCAACAGGTGCTGGTAAGCCCTTGGCCATCAGAGGCTTCAGCCCCTCGCATCGCCCTACGGTGAGCCAGTAGTTAGGCTTGGTGAACCTGAAAGGGTTCCAAATCCGGGTTGGGTTTGATAAGACTCCAATAGCTTGGAAGCTCCTCGGAACTTCTTGGGTCTGCAAATCTGAGGATTGGCTGCCTTGTCAGATTTCCAGCCCTTGCGTTTCCCATCCTGGTCAGAAAGAGCATCTGAATGGCCTCTCTCACTAGGAGCTCCTGGCAGTGGGAGTTGGGAGGGAAAGAAGCTCATTGGACCACTTCAGAACCCACAGCAAGGTGCAAGTTACGTCTTTGAACTAGGCGCAGGTCCAGGTGCTTATTGAACAGTTATTGGATTATCAGAATCCGTGGAGAGGAACAATATTTGTAATGTTACCCATTTTCTCCCCTCCCAGTATGGAGACACGACGCACACGTTAATAGAAAATCTTAACTACAAAGGTCTCTTCTTACCTGGCTTTGAGCCACCTCTCTTCAAAGACCCACTGTTACCAAAGCTGTAAGTATATTCTATAGGGCCTGATCTAGCAGTTCTTACTCATACAAAACTCCCACTGGCTTTGCTGAGTAAGGAATGCAGGGTCAGGTCCTCAGATCACAGTTGTTTACCTTCTGTATGGTCCAGTGAAATGTTCAGAGGCTGGGCTGTCTGTATGCAATAGATGTGAGCTCTAGGTAAACCTGTGCTGAACTCAGGCATTGTGCTTTGCATGGTCTCTTGCAAACGTCTTCTGTTTTTCCTCTATTTGGGGTCCGTCACCTCCTGGTTATGCTTGCAGTTTCAGGCTCAGATGCACCTGAAAACTCAAAAGCGAAATTTGGTCAAAACTTAAGATGGGTCTTATAATGGAATGCTAAACTGTATTATATTGTTCAGCCACACGATGGCGCCACAGCAATACCTCGACATAAGCGAACAAACAGCCATTCCTGGCAGTACATTAAAGCAGGGGTTCTCAACCTTTTTCCTTTTTAACCCCCCC